TTTTTTGGGCGTGCCATGTTTCTTAGTGTGCCAGAGATGGGCGGGGATAGTGAAAGCATCGACGCTCATGCTCAGGGTACGAGATGGAAGTGTATTGAACTGTTTCCTGTCGGAGCTGTATTTATAAATGGCCTCCACGGCTGACGAGGAAATGGCACGCGGGCCGACGCCGCAGATTCGATGCAGCTCCTCCGACTGGCCGTCTAGGGTGTAGATGGCACGGAACTGACAGTTGGCATCACGCAGGAGAATCAGGAAGTGACTGGCGGAGCTCTTCTCCATCTCCTAGAGAGACAGGAGGCAATGTGAATGTCAGAAAGTGAAAGTGCACAAAGGGAGTAATGTCTTTGTAGAAAGATGAACAGTGACGAACCTCTATGATCTTGTTTTTCTGGGATTCATTGACTTTGCCAGCAAGGCAGCAGCGTGAGAGAGCGTTGTGAATGATGAACTTGTTTGATTTAAAACTGGGTTCCTTAAATAATTTAGGACCTGAAACAGGAGATAACATTTTGACTAAACAGAGAACTAGAAAGCCACACAGATCAAATAAGGTAATGACTACAGCCAGCAGGTGGTGCTATTTCTTCATCTTTTCAAAACAGAGCAAACCACTTGATTTTAATTCATACTTACCTGTTCTACACAGTGCAGTTAAACCTCTGAAGGGTGTTATTATGATTACCAACCACCCAGAAAACCTTATCTTCAGTCACGCTCTAGCAACCGCCCTGAAGATCCTAGAAATTGCCCGCCAATTACTCAGAACAGCCCAGTTTCCCACTAGCAGAAGACCTCAGCTAAGTTCCAGTAACCACGCAGAACATCCTATAAGCCAACTAGCAATTATTCACAACAGCCTAGCAACCACCTAGCAATGCCCCCACAAACAAAAGACCACCTTAGCAACTACTAAGCAGTGCTCTAACAACCACTGATAAAACCTTATTAATCTTACAGGAACATCTAAAAGATTACCCAGATCATCCTAGGAGGTGCCTAGTAATCCTTAAAACCTATTCAAGACCACCTTAGAAACAGTCTAGCACCACAAAAAAACTTCCTAGTAACCACTCAGAACAAATTGGTGACCACATACAGAATTACAGATGACTTAAATAGCTCTAAAATTTCACACTAACCCTAACTTCTTTTCAAACAAGGAAATTGATCTTAAAATCAATAACCGGCTCTTTACCTGTGTATTCTGGGAGTGAGGCTGGAGAGGAGGCATTGAAGGCATGTTCCCAGTCTTTTTCCCCATTCTGATTGGCCAACTGCCCTGATGACATCACCTTTGAGGGCGACTCTGAACAACTGAGATGTAGAGTGAGAGAGGAAGCTTTAGACAAAGATGTATGGAAGACAGAAGACAGAAAGACATGGCAGCTCTGGTACAGTACCTCGCTGGCTTTTCAGCCGATAGAGATGCGCCAACTTTCATGTTAGCGACAACTGTGTGAGTGAACAAAACTGGTTTTAGAGCAAAATAAAAAACAGCTTCAAACTCTACTTCCATCTGACACTGCTCAACAAACAGGTTGATAGTCCCGTCCCAAACTTATTCTGGTTGAGCAAATGTTGCTGTTTCACTCATACAGACAGATAGCAATTCTGTTTGGTGACGCTAGTAGTTACCCACTTCAGGTACTAATTTAAGTACTCATGATGTGAGATTACCTGTTTTGTTCTTCCCCGGTGAGCGTGTGTGAGTAAGTTCATGGTTGTTGTGCGATTTGTGTGCATGTTGTTTTTTGCCGCTGTGCTTTGCTGGTTTCTGTTTGAGAACCTTCCCTAGATCAGCCATAATCTTTAGCTGCAGACGCCTTTCATACTCTGCCTTTGTAAACTCTCCTCGCCGCAAGGGTGTTCCTGGGGGCGTGGCTTTTGATGGAGGGGGTGGGGTGTATGAAGTGGGCAGTGACTGTGAAAGCAGCAGAGTTTGAGAAGGTCGCAGGTCATCCAGAGAAGCCTGTGGACTGTTGGAGAAAGCAGAGATCAGTGAGTCCTAAATGAAGGTCCTGAATGAACGGGTTTGGACAAGTAGATGTTCTTACCTGTTCTCAGGGTCTTGCTCATGTCTTGCACGTTTCTTGATCTCTTGAGCCCGTCTTTGCTGTCGTTCCAACAGCAGAGCCCTTTTCTGGGCCATCTCCTCCTCCGAAAGACCCTCCTCCTGAACACCCACAAAAACACACGTTACAAACACCTCAGACATGTACAATTAGCCAAAGCGCAAGCAGACCTTCACAAACCTTAAAGAACACATCGAGCCCCATCTTGCTCTCATTCTCTGTCTGGTCGCTCATGGAATCCGATGAGAATATTTCTGCGCCCTGTTCCAGATCCGTGTCATCTCCCACCGTCCCTGCACCCTCTGTCTCATCTTTCACCAGGGCGCTGCTAAGCAGCATGTCGCTTTCAAATGAGCACTCTGACGGGGCTCCTGAGCTGGTCCCACCTCCTAACAGTTCAGCTGGGAGTGCAGAAGGAGGTCCAGCCTCTAGCTCCAGGTTGAAGATTGGGGTGTGATGGTCACTGGAGCCAGATTCTGAGGTGCTCTCTTGAGGCGGAGCAGGTTGCGGTGGAGAGTCCTGGGGCGTGCATGGACCACTGAATCGCAGCGAGGAGCAGGTCTGCACCTGGCACTGGCTTGGAGAGACTCGCCGCAGATGGGGAAGCGTGTCCACGTTCTGTGGGGGCGTAAGGACACGTGTGAGAGGCTGGAAACCAAGGTCTGTGGGGCGGGAGGGACGTTGCCGTTTGGGGCTCTTGGAAGCAGCACCACGGGATTTGCGTGGAGCAGATGCTGCTGAACTTTTAGGGGATCTTAGTGTGTCAGAAAGTTGTCCGGAGTGTGATGGAGATCCAGAGGGTGAAATGATACGGGTGGACTCTCTAGAAAGATGAGGGGGTGTAGCAGGGGATTTGGAACCAGACGGGATGACCCAAGCCTTGCTGGAGGTAGGTGTCTTATTTGAGGGGGTGTTTTTCGGAGAACTCAGAGTTTTCTTTCCCATGAGCTTTTGCTGCTGTTCTGTAAGGCGCTGCATGTCCCTTTGTAGGGACTGTAGGGTGGAGGTTAGCTTGGCTACTGCCTCATTATATTCCCCCAATGGTGGCTCTTTCTCCTCCTCTTTCTTCGTTTCAACAGAGAAGGTAACCTGTTTCTCCAGTTTAGGTGGAGCTACTACATCACCAGCGTTCTCCATCTTCTGCTCTCCATCATTTTCTTTCTTCTCCTCCTCCTTTTTCTTTTTTTCATCCTCCTTCTCTCTGTCCTCCTCTTGTTGGAGCTGCTGCTCCATTCGTGTCAGTCGTTCATCCAGAGTGAGGGATTGTCCTTCATCTTCCAGTTCTTCCCCCTGTTTCTTCTGAAGTTGAAGGAAGGCAGTCTTACCCAGCCTCTGCCTGTGCTTGGTAAAGATGGCCTCGATCCGCCTCTTTTGAGCTTCGATAGCTTTACGTTTCTCCTCCAGACGTGCACCTAGCTCCTGCGCCTCCACTGCCCCAACGGGGCTCATCATTGCAGGGCTCAACAACGACTCCACTTCCTGGGACCTGGAATTACTTGGGGATTCTGGCATCTTCTTCCTGCATTCAGCAAAGTTTGTCATGCGACCAGTCTTGGGCCCGTTGGCTGGGCTGGAGGAGGTTTTGGGAGAGTCTTCAGGTGTGTCGCACTCTAAACCTTCATGGTTTTCTTGTGAACCAACAGGTTGTCGTTTGCGGTTCCCACAGCTATCAGGCCCTCCTCCAATTGGTCGATACATAATCCCCGACCGGCAGGGAGCAGAGCTGCTCAGTCTGGCTTCACCCCCCTCAGGGGAGTGGAGGTAAAAGCCAGACGGAGCTCCCTCTGGCCGCAGCCGGGGCTCATTGTGTACTGGACGGGAAGTATGAAAAATCTGTAATGCTTCTTCTATGGTAGGTAACTCTCCTAGAGGAGCGTGACCAATGAGTTTACTCAGATCCTCTGGGGGCGTGTAAGGACCTGGGTTGGTTACCATTGTGAGGCTGTCTGTACTGACGGAACGGAAGAGAGGATTGCCCATAACAACATCAACATCACTGTCCAGTGGGAATGGGATGTTGAAGGCCACAGCGGAGAGAGGACGGCTGAGACAGAGAAACGGAAAAAGATCCCTGTTGCTTGAATGAATTATATAAATAAAAATATTTAATGATTTAGAGTATTAAATTTTAATTATTTTTATCATAAAAATGTAATTAGTCGTACTTTCTTGAATTGAAAAGTCATTATACAAAGACATACCTAATTTGCTTTTTGGTCCAGCCCCGTCCTTCTACATAACATCAAATATGAAAATAGTAGATCAGTTACATACAAAACCCAAAAAGGATATATATTTGCAAATATAAAACTACAAATTCTAAAAAA